GCAGCTGATCGATGACTCTCTCTCATCGATGTTTCTGACTCTCTATCTCTCTCCTTCTCTGTACAAAATCAATAAAATATATATTTAAAAATTACTTGTACTGGTGAGAAGGGATTTGTGAGCAACATGCACACAGAGGGAATAAGACTGACTTTTTAATTCCATTCTTAAAAGTCTTATAATTCTTCCATGACACCAGTTTTCGAGACTCATCTCATATGAAATCAGCTATTGCAACCCTAGAAGCTGTGAGCAGCTTTTCTGAAGCACAACTGAGTGAACTGGGGTCATTTCCTTCATGCTTCTCAGTGTTGTCATGTTGTCATTTACACAATTACTGGATGCAATACTATACATAACAGAAATTTTCAACCTTTCTCGACTCGTAGCACACAGAAACTAATTACTAAAATCCTACAGTGCACTAAAAATTAAATTGTATTTTTTGCCAATCTGTCAAAATAGGTATATTTTTTATTAATTCACACCCGACGGCTATTGTTGTGCTGGCTGTTGTCATTTTTTATTGGACAATCTAAGGGAAGAGGGGTCAGTGACCCTAATAGTCAGGATTTCATGTTTTTAAAAATGCGTGCCAGATAGAGGTTGAAATAGCTGCCAAGTAGCATGAAATCCAATCACTTGTCTTCCCTAGTCATACCACCGGAGGGCGCCAAAACACCGGTAATCAACAGAACAAACGCATTTCAGACTAAGGCAATGATTGTATCATTTTTTCACAAGAACACACCTGGAAAAATATCCACGTCACCAAGGAAAATTTTAATGCCAGGGGTCAAGCTGCAGTGCCTGGGGTCAAGACAGCTCTTCATGAAATGGACTGTCACTACAACGTTTTATTGCGAAATAATAATAGTTTTTAAAATCAGGAAACCAGCAAAAACGTATTGATGAAATTACTTCCCTCTCTAGTGTCTGTCTATAGAATATTTCACTTTTGTAGAGAGTTATTCTCCTGAACCGTCTCACTGAGTAGCTGACACAGCGATGCCCCTGACGGGTTCACCTCTTTCTGTGCATCTTCGTGAGCTGGCCGGGCCTGGGTCTTCTATCAGCAAGTCCTTTATTGGTGATTTCCAGCCTGTGATGCTTGACCGGATAGTATATTGGGAGCCATCAAATGCGTATAGGTGACTGAGGGTGGATGGACGACACGTATGTCCTTGTCATGAGGACACGCTGACCTTGGAGTCCTCAGACCTGTGGCTTCAGGCCAGATGCCCTGAGTCTGACCTTAAAGCTCCACTTCCCGGCCCTCCCCCTGCGTCCACATCACACCGGCCTGTTCCCGGGGTGCCTGGGAACCCCGCCTCTGGCTCTGGCTCTCCTGCCCGTGCCAGGATTTCTCTCCCACCCCCGTCCTCTCAGCACTCTCCTCTCCTGGACTCCCGTGCCCAGATGCTGCCCCCGGTGAACCTGAGGAATCCTCCTAAGACTAAAGCTGCCTGCCCGGTGACGGTGCCGAGAAGTGCTTTCCACCCACTCTGAAGCCTCACGAGCTCACCCAGGAAAACCCGCTGCCCCCACACTGCAGACAGGGACCAGAAAGACACCCAGGAGGTTCCAGAGTCAGCGGCGGCCCTCCTGGGTGCACAGGGGCCGGCCAGGCAGCTGTGAGCCCCGGCAGTGACAGGTGACCGTCTAGCAGGAGAGATTCGCTCCTCGCCAGTCGCCTGGCTCCCAGCAGGGACTGCCCAGCGGGAGGTCCCCTCCCCAGGGGTCCCAGCTCCTCTGCAAGGCCCGGCACTGCCTTGGCCCCATCCCCCCTGGGACCGTGACCGTCATAGGTGACACCTCTGGGTCAAGCTGGCTCAGCAGGTGCGACTTCTCTGCTCCCCGGCCCTGGCCAGCTGGCCAAAGTGAAGGGCGGTGAGGCGGGGCAGCCCTGACTGACATGGGACAGCGGCCTGCCCTACCCTGGCCCCCCAGGAATGAGCATGGGCTGGCACTTTCCGGAGTGTGAATGCCGGTGTGGCCGCTTATGGCAGCGCGTATTCATTTAACTCAGATATTTCATGGGCTGCCGCATGGTGGGCCGAGAGCCAGCCAGCCTTCGGTCTCTCCCAATAGATGGCATTTGCAAACTTTCAGTCCCAAGTGAGCCCGACTCCTAGCTAGCGCCCCTGCTCCCCACACGCAGAGAATGGGGACAGTTCAGTCTTGAGGGAGTGCTCCCATCGTTAGTCTGATTCGCTGGCAGATGTCCTCCGTTTTCTGAGAAACTCCTCTCCGAGAGGGGCGGTGACTTCCGCGTGTCCTGTGTCCTGTGCTGGCCAAGGAGCCAGTGTGACCGCCCAGCTGACCCACCTGCTGTGCCCCAGGCTGGCGGCGCCTCAGCTCCCGGCCTTCCTGGAGCCAGGCTCGGGGGCTGGCACCACCCGAGGCCCTGGGCAGGTGGGTCTGTGCGGGCCTCCTGCCATCTCAGAGGACAGCTCCTTCCAGGGCCACCTTCTTCCCGCCTCCCCTCCCGGCTCCCCCCGGCTCTCAGGCCAAGGGCAGCAGAGCCAGAGCAGGAGCGCCTGCCCGGCCTGGTCCAAGGGCCGGAGGGCGGGCCACGCTAGCGGGCTGCAGGGGTGACAAGGCGCCTCCACAGAGCAGGTGACTGTCCCGGGTCTGGTCCCAGGGGAAAGACGGACCCGTTCCCCCCGTTCACTGGCGCCCGTGAGGTGTGCCCGGCGCTGTGCCTCCGGGGCGGGGTCCTGTGCCACGTGGAGCAGGTCCTCCTGAGCAGCCCAGTGAGGCCAACAAGAGCCAGGCGTGGGTCAGCAGGTGGGCGCCCACCATTCCCGGCCTCCAGCGCCCGCCGGGGCGAGCTCGCCCGGGGCAGGGCGGGGGGCCCCGGCCGCAGACGCCGAGTCTCCCCACGTCTGTGCAGGGACCGCCCGCGGCACAGCCTCTGGGTGGGAACTGGGAAGGCAGGCCCACGTGACTTACACACGGGTCTGTCGTCTGCCTGGCTCCACAGGACTGGCGTGACTTAATCTCTCTGAACAGACCCTGTGAGCTGGGCAAGAACCACGGGCGAGGGGCACTGGCCACCGCCACTGCGGGGAGGACCAGGCGCTGCCAAGGTCAACGGAGGAGCTGAACCTGGTCCCCCCGCCCCCCCCGACCGTGCCAGGTCACCGCCCACTGCGCTGTACATGTCAGCAAATGGGCTTTCACTGGACGCTGCGATGGATGGAGGTTAGCCGTAACCGTGCCCATGCTATGTGGAGAGGGCCCTCCCCATTCTTTTAATTCCTATCAGCTGAGCCCAAGCAGAGCCGTCTCTGGTTACAGCCCCCCAAGAAGGCAGGGGTACCATCAGTCCTGGTTTACCTTGGTCCAGCTTTCGGGGAGAGGCTTTGAGATGTAAATCCAGTCTAGCACAGGGAAAGAGGGAATGAATAGGACCTGGGCCCAACCAAGCTCCTTTGACCCTAAGCTTTCCCAGTGAAACCCCCTTGTGTTTTGGAGGATAAATGTGCTGTTACCTGTGTGACTGTCCCTCCATCAGTGACAGCCTCCACCCGGCACCCAGCTTTTGGATCTATTTCTGCCTCGTCTCTTTCTTTCTTAATCCCCAGCTCCTCTTAATCCACTCAGGAACCTGTCCTCCCCCCTTTCAGTGCGGGACACGGAAAAAGCACAGCTATGTTAGCCATAACCGTGCCCAATGCTATGTTGGCCATAACCATGCCTAATGCTGTTAGCCATAACCGTGCGTCATGCTTGGAGGACGCCAGCCCTCCGGACACTGGTGGGAGCTGCTGGGAGGTGGCTGCATGGGGGTGTGGTTAAAGGTCACTGGCTGGCAGCACTCCGTCTGAGGACGGACGGTACTCCTGCTCCAGGGAAAACCGTGGTAAATATGACCAGTCAACCGGGTAGTGCCATGAGTTTAATCTCCAAATCATTTTCATACATTTGGATTCTTAGTTGTAACAAAGGTAAAATGACTTCCACAGGGGATGGAAAAGTCCTTCTAGGAGTGGTACAGGGGTGTCCAGGCAACAGAACATGAACGGGGGTTACATGGGGACTGTGATTAGTCTTATGAGAACAGAGAAGCTGAACCAGATCGGAGTTCAAGGTTTAACCCCCGTCCTGCGAGCTACGTGACAGCTAACTGCAGTCCGCCTCTGGGCTGTTCCTCCACCTGCAGAGCTAACACCGCACTGCGACCTCACGCACTTACTGAAGACAACTTACAGCGAGGTATGCGAGTGCTGGCACATGGGTGCCACCCCAATGGTTACCAAACGGGGACCTACAGACGTTTTAAATAACTAGCCCTCTGCACCAGGCATGCTCACTGGAGAAACTTCCCCCAGAGGGACCAGGCAGACATGTCCGCCTTCAGCGGCAATGCTGAATCCACACAGAGCATGTGGGACGTTCCAGAGGAAGCACTGAGACACACTGGGCTGACAAGACTTCAGAGTGAGGAGGAGGATTTCCCACATGACGGAGGGATTCCATCTTTAAGTGGAGAAAAGTGCGTTAAGGAAAGCACATGGGCCTTCCTCAGATACAGGGAACAAAATTCATCCTCGGTCTAATCTGTATGTAAACCAGCGTCTCAAACGCCTGTCTCTCTCAGGGTGTCAGTGCTTCCAGCCTGGCCTCCTGAGACAGGAGCGTCTCCCCCGTGGCCAGGGGAACCACACCGCTGGGCGGCCTGGGGCACAGCTCCACAGCCTGGGAGGGGCCGCGGCCCTCCCTGCGCCTCAGCGTCCATCCTCTCAGATAATGGGAACCCGCCAGACAAACTCCCAAACCCTGTTGTGCGCTGCCTTACTCTTCTACTACCCACTCTGGCGGCCTTTGTTTTGATTGTAAAATTAAGTTTAAGGAGCACTCTAACCTTTCCCTTCAAATAAAACCTTTGATGTTCTTAGACAAAAAAAAAAAATAAGTTAACAACCAAAAACAAATGAGGATGCAAGGGAGGACATAAATGAGAGGATCCAGTAAGTATAAAAATATGCTGTTCGGATTCAGAATAATTTAATAACTCTTCATGATTTCATATGTATCTGGAAACGGAACAGACACGTGTCCTGAGCCCGTGACAAGAGGTAGGATTCCGGCGTTGGGTACGACGTTCCAGGACAGAGTCAGCGTGACGTTCCTGTTGCCCCTGAAAGACAGCAATCCGACGTCAGCAGAGACACTGCAGTCTGGGGAGAACAAGTCTTACAGCGCCGAGGCGCCCAGTCCGCCCATCACCAGCCCCCCTGAGCGGGCCTCACCCAGACAGTCTCCAGGTCCGTAACCCAGGACACGGCACCAGCGGCCTGGGCACCGCAATGCCCTGGCTCCCTGAGTTCGAGCCAGACGCCCAAGGCCGAGTGCGGACGACAGAGAACAGGAGCCCAGACTGGGGGATCAGAGGACAATGTGCGAGCCCCAACTCCATGGCTCTCTAGCCGGCAAAGGGGAGCACCCCTGCTGGAGTGGAGTCGGACAGGACCCAGATCGCTATTTTGCTCCTCACTGCACAAGAAGGAAGCTGAGGGTCACAGAAGCCAACAGACCAACACCACAAACCTCAGTGCGAGCTGGGCCACGAGCTACTTCCTCCTCAAATCCCCTGAGCCCGTGCCGGGCAGTCCCACCCACAGGCGGGCCCTGCGCGCCCTGGGCACCAGGCCCTGGGCACCGGGGCAGAGGCCTCGGCAGGGGCTGTCACACACCGAGCCCAGATCTTAGCTCAGTTTTGCGGTGTTTCCACATCATCTTCCAGGTCAGATCCATATAAATACTTCACTTCTCTCCCCACCTTCCTCTTTTTTACCCTCAAATATTCTTCTTTAAAAATACAAATACATCGTTCTCTCCCCTTCACATTTCATTAAATGTAAAAAAAAAAAGAGAGAGAGAGAGAGAGACAAAGAATTGCTCACTTGAGACCATTTCCATCGTCAAAGAAAAAATACTTTGTTTTCATATCTTTCAACAGCAGCTTTGGATTATCACCTCTCAGAACAATCTTGTCCCAAAGGACAACCTGGTTCAGAGCCTACAAGAAAAGGGAAATAATTAAATTAACTCAGCAGAAATGGTATCTGTCGATTCAAATCGGAAGCGTTGGTAAGCAACTAGCTCATTACCAGTGAGCCCAACTCTGAGGGGATTGCTGCGACCATCAGCCCTCAGCCCAGTATGAACCCTGCCCGGGTCACTGCTGCCCCCGCCATCTATGTTCTGCCAAGCGTTTTCAATCGCCAAGCATCACTAAATAAAGCCTTTACTATTTTTTCTTTAAAGTTACACACAGGCACATCATTGCTTTATTTCGGCAAAATTCTAGACAGCCTTTCAAGCCGCTATTCTGACACAGCATAAACCTATTGTCAGGCAAATCAGGAGCATGAAATGGAGTAAAAGCACATGTGTGATCACAACCAAGTCCCAAGACTGTGTTCTCACTCAGCTACCACTCACAGCTTGTGAGGCTGACTGCTGAGCATGTGACGTCCAACTCACAGAATGTGGACTGTTATTCCCAAAAGAGGGTTCCAATCGCCACCCTAAGTCTCTTTCTGAGACTAAACAGGACCGTCCCAACGGAGGGACAGAGTCCAGCACATGCCGGAGAGAAGTGACTGTGAGAATTCACTCCTTCACTGAAGCCACAGCCTGCCCGTTCCACGCTGTGCTAACTCACTGGCCATGCTGGGGAGCAGGCTCTGAATGTTAACGTAGGTGCCCGTCACCAAGGAAAGGCCTGTTGTTTGGACCATGTGCTGAGCCTTGAATAGCATGTGTTTCCAGTTGCTACTCATCCTCAACGGCCTTTCCTGTTTTAACACTTAGCTGACTCTCAAGGGCAGGGAGCACCTTCCTCCCAGGCCTAACAAAACATCTGGTATAAAAGATATGCCCCAATTAATGTGCGGTACCATTAACTGACTGCAGTGCTAAAAATGACACTGAACTACAAAACTAACCAACAGAAAGAGCTGGTGAATTTGTCATCTCTTAAAAATGAACACACTTCAAATGAAATAGAGAAGTAGACTCCTTTCTAACTACAAACCACCTCAGTATGCACACAGCAAACATAACGTACTTAGGTAACAGCCACACAGTTACTGTAGTTCATTTTAATTCTACAGATTTCACATTTGTGCTTTACTTCACTCATCAGAATCATTTACTTTATACTTTAGAACCTAAGACCTCTATTTTAGTAACATTCTGTAGTTATACCTCATTTATTTATACCTTACTCTAGCTACAACAAAAGCTTGAAATCAGACTGAACTAAAAAACTTCTATCATAAATTAACTGTTTTAATATATTTTAATGTAATAGTTTAATAACTTCTAATGACAAAATCTGATAAACTCTAATATATGATTTAAAAAAAGACTACCTTAAGTACTCAAATTGGATCCCATACAACTCCAAAACAAATAAAAATTCTAAAGACAGTTATTTATTAACTGCATAGCTATGGCTTCATACACTATCAAAACAGCTCAAACTATATATATAGTTGGGTTATAAAATAACCTCAGAAATGCTTCAAATATAATTAGCTTTAGTTTTTTATTAGAGGTCTGGGTAACCAGAGTTATAAGCACAGATCACAAATTTCATTGTTTCAAATGTCTTGGTATTTATCTTCCTAATTATAGCTGTCTGGAGAGAATATTTCAGCTCGAAGAATCCTACAGCTGGCCCTGGCCTGGGTGGCTCAGTGGATTGGGAAACATCCTGTGCACCAAAAGGTCACCCACCATTCCCTTCCCAGTAGAGGGCATGCCGGAGGCAGCCAATCAGTGGTTCTAACTCACATCAATATTTCTCTCCCCCGCCCCCATTCCTCTCTAAAATCAATAAAAACGTATTTTTTAAAAATCCTACAGCTGGGTGCAATGCCCTCTCCATCTCCTAATGTGCTCCCAGTGCAGCAGCACCTTCCTGAATGTGTCACTGAGCGGCCTCCATGGGTTCCCCATCACGCATATTTTGAACAGAAGCCCCTCAGTATGCGCCTTTCTTTACAAACCCGGTCCTCAGACACCTGCTGTTCCCTCAATCACAGCACCATCAGCAGAGTGCCTCCCCACAGGCTCCTGACCAGCCGTCCTCCGCCAGCTTCTCACAGACCCAGGTTCTTGGTTTCTCATCCATCAGTAAAGTGGCTGAGCAGCTCAGAGGACCCGGCACGGGAGCTGTGCCATGTGGTGGGCCACGGGCCTTCTCTTCGCCTCTGAGAGCTTTGCAGGGATCTTTGTAAGCCGTCCTTCCATCATGTGAGAATTCGTTTCTTTAAAACTGGACAACACAACCCACTCCACTCTGCACAATGCCGCGTGTCAGGAATGAATGATGAATGAATGAATGAATGCACAGAGAGCCAGCCGCTCAGCCTCCTGCCCCCGGAATTCCTCGCTGCCTCCAGAGTCTGAGTTCACACATGTCTTAGGAAGCACGTAGCCAACTCCGATTGGGGACTGAGTGTTACTGTCTGTCCACGTACAGTGTGATTCAAGTGTAACTGCTTTCCCTTTTCAGTTTACATCGAGGAACATACAGACAGATGTGCCGTTTTCAGAATGGCGACCAGACAGACCCTGCAGTGCTGGGTCCCCAGGAGAACCAGCAGCTCGCTCTTGGGCCCAGGGAGCCCCTCCATGCGCCCGAGCCCACAGGCCTCAGCACGGCTGCCACGGGCTGGTGACTCCTCCTGAACCACTCAGGTCAGGTGTTCTGAATATTCAAAATGTATATTTTTCATAAAAACTAGGATGTTACATATCTACTAAAATACTTATATACTTACATTATTTTTTGTTGAATATTCTGCTGATAAATAAAGAAACAACTGCTTAACATTCCAATCAAATATATTCTCTAGATGTAAACAAATTAAGGAATATATCAACCATAGAGCAGCATACAGCTTTAAAACAATCTTAGTAACGCTAAGTATTCACAGCAATACGAACACCAAAATAGAGAAAAAGTGGCCAGAAACATACTGAGCCACTAATTCAATGAAAACACATGAGAGAAGACTATTTCATTTCTCAAGCACGATTCCACTGCAGTTCCAAAGTATAAACAATCATCCCAATTTAACTGTAATAATATGCAAACATCAACGACACGCAGGTAATTAAATCAAGTACAATAAATAGTACTTATACACTAGTATTCTAGGTGTACCAGATTTTTTTCATTAGATGGAGTTACACATATTGAATATATTGATATATATGCGATTTGATATGTCTGCTATTTTTTTGTATTAACAAGCTTCAAAATTTCATGTCAAATTTTCTGAAGGTGTTAACATATTTTTACGCTTAAAAGTGTCAAATTTTGTGCCCAAAAAGAGCATTTGCAGGAAGTTTTAATTCATTATTTTGAAGAAAAAAGCTGCTGAATACTTCTGGGAAGCTTATGGTGAACATGCTCCATCTCCAAGACACTGTGAACACTGGTTTAAACACTGAAAGTGATGAATTTGATGTGAAAGACAGAACGTCCAGATCAACCAAAAAACTTTGAAGACCAACAATTACAAGCATTATTGGATGAAAATGCATGTCAAGCTCAAAAACAACTTGCAGAAAGCTTAAACATTGCTCAGCAAACAATTTCAGATTGTTTACAAGCAATGGGAAAGATTTTAAAGGAAGGAAAATGGGTGCCACATCAACTGAACGACAGACAAATGGAAAACCGAAAAGTCATCAGTAAAATGTTGATTTGGTGGCACGAAAGTAAGTGCTTTTTTTTTTTTTTTTTGCATCAAATTGTGACTGGCAATGAAAAGTGGATTTCATTTGAGAATCCCAAATGCACAGAATCATGGGTTGATCCAGGTTAACCATCAACATCAACTGCAAGGCCAAATCCCTTCATAAAAAAGACAATGCCCTGCGTTTGGTGGGATCAGGAAGGTGTGGTGTATCATGCATGAGCTTCTAAAACCAGGTGAAACCGTTAATACTGATGGCTACTGACAACAAATAACCAATTTAAACCACACTCTGATCGTGAAACGACCAGAATGGGCCAGAAGACACGACAAAGTAATGTTGCTTCATGATGATGCACCATCACACACTTCAAAACCAGTTAAAGACACGGTATAAGATCTTGCCTGGGAAGTAAGAACCACCCGCTGTGTTCACCAGACCCTGCTCCTTCAGATGACCACTTGTTCTGATCGATGGCACACGCCCTCTCTGAGCAGCACTTCAAAATGTACCGAGAAGGGGAAAATTGGGTCCCAAATCACTAAACAGCATGCACGTCGTCAGTGCGCCACAGGAAAGACAATGAGCCCTTGCTCAAAGGATATCTGCCGTGATGTCAAAGTTAATGAACCCCAGGTCACTCTTTTCTCTAGGTCCCGTGAAGTCTTCCACATTTTTCCTAGAAGTAAAGAGAAAAGCTTTACCATCCTTAGGACATGTCAACATACAAAACACACATCATTCCCAGGGATACAGTTGTGTGCACAGGGGAAACAGCAATTCCACAAAGAAACAAGTGAATACTAGGATCAACTTCCTAATCTATACTAATAATCTATACTAATAAAAGGGTAGTATGCAAATTGGTCATGACACTCTCACAGTAACGACTGAACAACAGGCTGTGTGGGGCAACCAGGCCGGCAGGTTGGGCAGTTAGGGGCAATCAGGCAGGTGAGGTTAGGAGCCAGCAGTCCCGGATTGTGAGAGGGATGTCCAGCTGCGGGTTTAGACCAGTCGGACATCTCCCAGGTGTCCCGGATTGGAGAGGGTACAGGCTGGGCTGAGGGGAACCCTCCTCCCGAGTGCACGAATTGTATGCACCGGGCCTCTAGTTCGATATAAAGGCCTGTTTCCGTGTACCTCCAGAGAACCCCTAACAAACCCAGGGGCGATGCAGACTGGGCGAGAAAAGTGTGGACACATGAGGAGGCCACTTGGTGGACGGTGGGAGGAAGGGGCCCCGCCTAAGGGGAGCGTCTGACTGAGGGTCTGTCACCACCACCCGTTTTCTCACGATTATCTCAGTGTGCAGGAGTGGGGTGGCACTCCCACTTACACAAACGGGAACTGAGGCCCAGAATTCTAAGGCACTGGCTCCGAATCAACTAAACCTCACAGCTGCTGGGTGCTGACCGTGCAGAGCTCAACACCGCCTCCCACCCCAAGCTGGCGCGCGCAGAGGTCAATCCACCCAGGACCTGAGTTTGGAACCTAAAGCACAGTATCTAACAAACACCCCTTAGCAGAGAAAGAAGAAACAAAACAAAACATAAACGCGGGGAGGAGAGGGGGGCGGTGGTTATTCCATGACCAGCTTGCTGGAGCTTGTGACCAATAAGAAAACTGCGGCACACTCGTGGGGAGATGGATGGGGAGCTGGGTGAGAAGACGGAGGGAGGAGAAGCGGAGGGGACAGCCCTACAAGCCGGGAAGTGCGGGGCACAGGGCCCGGCCAGGCCGATGCCCGCGGCGCTCCCGGAGCCGGTGCCCGGCCTCCCCGGGCTTGTTCCCGGCTGGTTCTCACTGAACAGGAACCGACGGCCCATTCCCTCCGGCACCGAACCGAACCGAACCGCCCCGCCACCCAGAGCAGCCGGGAGCCGACAGCCCCGACGGGGGAGGCGGGGGACCCACCAGGGACCCACCCGGGACCCAGCCTGGACCAGGGAACAGGGGCCGGGAGGGCGGGCCGGGGACCGGGAGACCCGGAACCAGGGGACCAGGGGCCCCAGCGGAGACCGGAGGCCGGAGGGCGGGCCGGGGGCCCCAGCGGGGACCAGGGGCCAGGGACCCGGGAGCCAGAGGGGACCGGGGGCCCAGCCGGGAGCCGGGAGCCGGGGACCAGGGGCCTGGGAGCGGGGGACCCGGAGAGGAGCGGGCCGGAGGGCGGAAGCCGGGGGCCGGGGGCCTGAGGGCGGGCCGGGGGCGCGGGGACCCGGAACCAGGGGACCGGGGGACCCAGCGGGGAGCGGGGGCCAGGGGACCAGGGGACCCAGCCGGGAGCCGGGGGCCGGGAGCCGGGGACCAGGGGCCGGGGAGCGGGGACCCGGAACCAGGGGACCGGGGGACCCAGCGGGGAGCGGGGGCCCAGCCGGGGGCCGGGGGCCGGGAACCGGGGACCAGGGGCCGGGGAGCGGGGACCCGGAGAGGAGCGGGCCGGAGGGCGGAAGCCGGGGCCGGGGGCCGGGGGCCGGAGGGCGGGCCGCGCCCGGCTGGTGTGGAGCTCCCCCATTGGCCGGCGGGGAGGAGGCGCAGGAAGGAGGGAAGCCCGGGCTGCGGCCGCTCCAGCGACTTCAGAGCGGGAGGCGGGAGCCGGGAGCCGGGGAGCCGGGGAGGGGAGCCGGGAGCCGGGGAGCCGGGAGCCGGGGAGCCGTGGCGGGGAGCCGGGGAGCCGGGGAGCCGTGGCGGGGAGCCGGGAGCCCGGGAGCCCGCGGGGGAGGAGGCGCCGGGAGCGGGAGCCGGGAGCCGGGAGCCGGGAGCCGGGGAGCCGGGAGCCGGGGAGCCGCGGCGGGGAGCCCGGGAGCCGGGAGGGGAGCCGGGAGCCGGGGAGCCCGGGAGCCGGGAGCCGCGGAGGGGAGCCGGGAGCCGGGAGCCGCGGCGGGGAGCCCGGGAGCCGGGAGCCGAGAGCCGGGGAGCCGGGAAGCCGGGAAGCCGGGAGCCGGGAGTCCGGAGCCGGGGAGGGGAGCCGGGAGCCGGGGGCCGGGAGCCGGGGAGCCGGGGAGCCGGGAGCCGGGAGCAGGGGAGCCCGGGAGCCGGGAGCCGGGGAGCCGCGGCGGGGAGCCGGGAGCCGGGAGCCGCGGAGGGGAGCCCGGGAGCCGGGAGCCGGGAGCCGGGGAGCCGCGGCGGGGAGCCGGGAGCCGCGGAGGGGAGCCGGGAGCCGCGGCGGGGAGCCGGGGAGGGGAGCCGGGAGCCGCGGCGGGGAGCCCGGGAGCCGCGGAGGGGAGCCGGGAGCCGCGGAGGGGAGCCCGGAGCCGCGGAGGGGAGCCGGGAGCCGGGAGCCGCGGCGGGGCAGGGCGGAGGCCGCGGGGTGCCCGCAGGCGCCGCGGGCCGGGCCGCACTCACAGCATGATCCGCGAGACGTGCAGCCGCACCGGCACGCTGCGGTCCTTGAAGGCGGTGGTGATGAAGCAGCCGAAGGTGAGCGCCGCCATCACGCTCAGCGAGAAGGCGAACAGCGAGTTCGCCCGCGACAGCACCGTGTTCATCGCGGCCGAGCGCCCGGAGCCCTGTTCCTGGACCCCGTTCCGGTGGCGGCCCGGCTGCCAGCGATCCGCGCCCCTGCGCCGCGCGCGTCCCGGGCGCGCGCCCCGCGGCCCCGCCTCCCTTCCGGTCTTCCGGCGCCCCTACTTCCGGTCTGCCGCCTCCGCCAATCAGCGGCGGGCAGGGGAGGGCTCCTCCGCCAATCAGCGGTGCGCAGGGGAGGGCGGGGCTTCGCTGCGTACGCAGACCCGCCTCCTCCGCCCGGGCGGGCCCACCAGGTCCCCGGCGGGTGCTGGCTCCCCCGGGGCCGCCGCCAGGGGCTCGGGGCGGGCTGGGGGGCCGCCTGGGCGCCGCTGCTGGGCGCTGAGATGCAGCCGGAGAGTTTGGGGTGTCCCCTGGCGAGTCGCGGCTGGAAGCAGCGCTTGACCGCCCGCGGGGTCCTCCTGCCTGTGTCACTTGGGTCCAAAAACTGATGCCTCTTAGGAGGGGGGGGCCCGAAAATGCCTCATCCTCCCACCCCCACGCTACCCCCCACCCCCAGCCGCCCCGTGCACCTTCCACTTTCGACCGCGCCCACTTCCTGTGGCAGCTGGAGCGGTTTTAGGCGTTAACGGTTAGCGCTGCAGATTCTGGGAGGTGCATGTCCCACTGGGTTTCCTGTAACTGACTTCACGGGGCTCTGAAAACCCAACCAGGGGTCTTCAAACTACGGCCCGCGGGCCACAGCCCGCAGAGGAGTCTGATCCGGCCCGCCAGGTGTTTTGGGCAGTGAGCGCAGCCGAGGTGTTACAGTAGGAATTAGTAGTTCATATAGTCCGGCCCTCCAGCTCTCTGAGGGACCGTGATCTGGCCCTCACTTTAAAAAGTTTGAGGACCCTGACCTTGAAGGCGATCAGTGACCCTGAGACTGCTGTGCAGTTTGTGTAAGAATTTTTTTAAAATATTTTTTTATGGATTTTTAGAGAAAGGGATAGAGAAAAGTCCATAAGAGAGGAGCATCATCATTTGGCTGCTGCCTGCACACTCCCTCCTGGGGATGGAGCCTGCAACCTGCATGTGCTGTGACCTGGAATTGAACCTGTGACCTCTTGGTTCCTGGGTGGAGACCCAACTGCTGAGCCACATGTGCTGGCCGAGGCATCGGTGCTTCGTGACCCTGGGGGGCTGCAGGCTCTGACTGTGCCAATCTTTAGCCTTGGAGGTCTGCAGACTCCTTTCAGAGCTGTGGGTCATTGTAAAAGAACCCGGAGGCTCCAGGAATGTGCACGGATTACTTTAAATCTTAATAAACCAAAAGAGGTTGGCTAAGCACACCTGGCCTAGAACAAACTGGGAAATGGTCTGCCCTGGTGCTGGTTTTTGCCGTCCGTTAATAAGCCCTTGTTTCTTTGCATTATTCATTATGCAATTTCATACAGCCTTGCTGTTGGGATTATCACTGAGCGCCTACTGTGTGCCAGCTCCAGCTTTGAGAGCACAGCACCAATAAGGGAGCACCCCTGTCAAGTCGGAATAGAGCCCGCCATGAAACATGGAGAGACCCTAGATTAAGTTTAAAGTTTTTTTTGTCTTCCAGACAGCCACAGCTTATTCAGTAAAACAACTATTTATTGAACGCCTACCGTGTTGCTAACTGTACAGAGATATATAACAATCACTTTCTATCCTCATGGAGCTTATAATCTACTAGAGTTGATAAAAACACACAAACCTGAAACAAAGCATAAATACCAAGGAGGTTACAGAGTGTTGTGGACTTCAGAGGAAGAATTTACATCTGTGACAATGTGGGACCAAGCAGGGTCTATGAAATGTTCAGCACAGAGCCTGAACTATGTGGATTAGGTATTCTTACGGGGCGAGTTAAAGATGTTGATGTCCAAGGATAGTATTCCAAAAGGGACAGTATGGATATGTGGGATACGCAGTAGTGTGATCCAGCTAAATTATCTACGTCCTATCTAATAAAAGTAATATGCAAATTGACCATCACTCCAACACACAAGATGGCTGCCCCCATGTGGACACAAGATGGCCACCACAAGATGGCCCAACAGGGGAGGGCGATTGGGAGGGACCAGGCCTGCAAGGGAGGGCAGTTATGGGTGACCAGGCTGGCAGAGGAGGGAAGTTGGGGCAAACAGGCTGGCAGGGGAGTGGTTAGGGGGAGATCATGCTGGCAGGCAGAAGCAGTTAGGGGCAATCAGGAAGGCAGGCAGGCGAGCAGTTGGGAGCCAGCAGTCCTGGGTTGTGGAAGGAATATCTGACTGTCCGTAGGATGTCTGACTGCCAGTAGGATCTGGCCTAAATGGGCAGTCAGACATCCCTGAGGGGTCTCAGATTGGAGAGGGTGCAGGCTGGGCTGAGGGACACACACACACACCTCATGCATGAATTTCGTATACCAGGCCTCTAATAGTACATAAAAGCCAAGTGACTAGAACAACCAGTATGACCGGTTGCTGTAATATGCACTGCCAACCACCCGATTGGGGCCCCAGTCACCCCCCCTTCCAACCTCCTGTGGCCCCTCCTGGCCGGGCCCCTGATCGGGCCCCACACACACACACCCGATGGGGGACAGGGACGGCTAGCCAACCACCCACGGCCCCTCCTCCCCCTGGCCTGGCCCTGATCTTCCCCCATGGAGCAGGCCAGCCAGACCCCACCTGTCACAAATTTGTGCACCAGGCCTCTGGTGTAAGTATAAAGGATTAGGCAGAAATGAGGCTAGAAAGGCAATGTAAAGTCCTACTGCAGAAATGTCAGCCAAGGAGCCCAGACTTTATGTCACAGGAAATTACTATTCAAGGGAATCGGAGATCTCAGCTCCGGGTGCTCAGAGGCCTCGGCTCCGGGTGCTCAGAGGCCTCGGCTCTGGATGCTGGGTTTGCGCCAAGGTGTCCTCACTGTCAGGGTGCGTGTGGAGGAAGTGGGAAGCCCTGCTCAGGTGACTGGAATATGTGAGGAAAACTGAAACCCTCGAGGCACGGATCCTGCTCCCTGTTCTCATGGTGCGTCATCCTGCAGAGTCAGTCATCACCGAGTCCGTGACACTGTAGGAGCAGGTGAACCGAGGGGCTTGTGACTTGGCGCAAGCTCCGTGACAGACGCCAGAAGGTGGCCTGGCTCTGGGCCCCGGTTTTACCGTAAAGGCTGCGGCCAGGACCGCGGTGAGTCAGGCAGCTGTCAGCCGAGACCGGACTGACCCCGGCCACAGGCGCCTCTCTGCTTCGCCTGCTCATTCATGGAAGGCGGGCTCACTGTAAGCTGCCGCATTTAGCAGCTGCTGAATGTGGTCACTTCGCAGGGAAAGATCCCTCGGGGTTCTTGCCAGAAAGATCCCAAGCAGAAAGCAGGGAGCAGATCACGTGGTCCTCTTCCGGAAGGAAAATGAAGACCAAGGAAGAGCAAACCCTGTGTCAGCCTGCAGCCCCCACCTCTCCCTTTCCTCTCCACTGAGCCTCTGGGCATGGACAGGATACAGAGGGGGGATCCGCATTGCCTTGGGTTCAAAGAGTGAACTTGACATTCTCCTACTAGCCTAGGGTCTGTGTTTTTGAGAAAGGAATTACTGCTTCTGTGTGTAGTATCTGTTAAAAGTTACTTAAATATACTTATTTCAGAATTCCTAGAATAAAATAGGTAGGTGATGGAGATGTAGAATGTTTCTGATGTTTACATTAATTCTAAGAGAAGCAATTCTTGGCAAATTTTTTCTCTAAGGTCAGCTTTTCTAGCCACCTAACCTTGGCATGTTACATGTATTCCCTGGTAAACACTAGGAAGGTGTTCATTCTAAAATGGCATCTGGGCCGAAACCAGTTTGGCTCAGTGGTAGAGCATCTGTCTGCGGACTGAAAGGTCCCAGGTTCGATTCCGATCAAGGGCATGTACATTGGTTGTCAAGGGCATGTACATTGGTTGCGGGCACATCCCCGGTAGGGGGTGTGCAAGAGGCAGCTGGCCGATGTTCCTAACTCTCTATCTCTCTCCCTTCCTCTCTGAAAGAAAATCAATAATATATATATTTTTTTAAAAAAAATAAAATAAAAATAAAAAATAATAAAAATAAAATGGCATCTGGTTTTGAAACTTTCAAATGTGGGTGATGGAGCCTGCTGAACCAAAGGCAGCCCCGAGGAAGGGCGGCCATAGTCTGTGGTCTTCAGTTGCCTTAGTTCAGAGCACAGAGCCTGGCTGAGTGTGGGAGAAAGCCCCTCACTCCCCACCCCCCAACGAGCCTGCATGCAACCTCAGTAAGTGACACTGTTACACCCAGACTCTGTGACCCCCAGGGACCAGCAGGGAGCTGAGTCTGATGCATGCTAGCATGGGCTCTGTCCCACTCACGCTGACAGGCAACATGGCAGAAGAGAACGAATTTCGCCAAGCCCGGGGTTTTTACACCGGTGGCAATGTCACTGCTCGGCTGACCCTGATTGGTTGGGTGGGGGTTAGGGTCCAGTTACACAAATTGGAGGATAACTCCGCCTTGCTCCACAGTGGAGTCCGGAGTTTATCCTCACCCTGCCCTGCCCTCTCAACACCTCGGTGCAATTTGTTTTTCTTGTGGATCCTCATAATGCTAGTGGCAACTATCTTCTCATTCCATTACATGGCTGGATGCCAGCAGCAAGAGTGTGCCCCCAGGGGGTACGTTCAAGCAGAATGGACTCGCTCTCTCCCCGGCTGCCCTTGTGGAGAGGGACTGCTGCGATGATGACGGTCTCTGATGAAGTAGGTCTCCGATGATGACGGTCTCCATGGGTGTGCATTCCTCATCCACGGGAAGGACACCTCACAGGCCCCGAGGCATCCGCACCTGAGCTGGGAGCCAGCACGTTGTCTGGGGGTGTGACTTCGCAGCGTTTCCTCCACACCGGGAGCCCCCGCCAGGCGCTCAGCGTGGCCTCTGCTGCCTGTTTCCATGACACGGCTTTGGGAAAGGGAACGCACGCTAATTAAATAGGGTCTGCAGCCTCTGCCGAATGGAATAAGGCAAATTCAGTCGTTAATTCCCTGGTTTCAAGGCGCAGGGTAAACATTTCTGTTTTTATTTTACATCCCTAGGCGGCCCCAGCATGGAAGGCTCCAGGGTGTTCTAGCCAGC